TTTTTATGCTATACCTCCGGATTTAATTTAATTTTCGTCCTGTTTTGTTTTTAAACTCTCCCTCTCCACACCCCTTGTTCTGACCTTTTCTGTTTAAAAAAAAAAAAACTGTTATGCGTGGCAGAAGAACCCACCAGTGGTGGGGGTGAAGGGTGTCCACTTGCTCAGGCACCCCCTCTAGTCACCAGAATGGAGGTACACAAGCAGTGGTGGGTCAATGAACAGATACCAAAAAAAAAAGAAAAGAAAATCAGAACAAAGCAAAACTGGCAAAGTGTATTGTCCACCTTTGCTCTGAGGTTCCAGTGGCGTTTTTCCGAGTGTGTCTGCTCCCCTGCTTGGTCTTGCTGTTTGATTTTGGCCAAGTTGTTGGCTCTGGGCCACTGAGCCTGGCAGATTCAAAAGTACACAATTTCTTACTTTTGCTACAAGTTCCACTAGCTATAAGCATTCAAACTTTTTAAATACTCCTACCTATGTGGTTCTGAGTTTGGGAGCTCTGCCCTGAATCTGCTTTGCCTGGTATTCTGTGGTATGGCTGACAGCAAACCTCACTGCACCTCCACCCTAGCCACCATCAAGCCCCTTACCCTCTTGTGACCCTGGTCCGAATGGTCAATGGTAGTACCTGGGTACTATCTAGTTCTCAGGCACTGACTAAATTTTCTTACTATCCATACCAATATAATGGGCATAATCATTTTTGCCTCGCCTATATCCTAGGGACTTCATGAAAAAGAAAACAGTAACTCTTGGGCTAAGGCCCTTAAGAGGTAGAAGCTTTATGATGATACAGGATTTTTGCTGCTGTATTTCCACAGGTCAGGAAAACTCTGGACGCCACCATGCAGACCTTACAAGACATGCTGACGGTGGAGGATTTTGATGTCTCTGATGCCTTCCAACACAGTCGCTCCACAGAGTCCATAAAGTCTGCTGCCTCAGAGACCTACATGAGCAAGATCAACATTGCCAAAAGGAGAGCCAACCAACAGGAAACAGAGATGTTTTATTTTACAGTAAGTGGGGGCCTGGACCCAGAACCAGTGCACTGCCTGCTGACCCACTCACTTACAATGACTTTGGGAAAGAAGTCCAAACAAGTGGAAGTCTATGAAACCACATGGTGCAATTAAACCTAAGACACTCCTAATGTGCTTTTAAAATGAAATTGCTTGACTTGGTTTTCTGAAACGTAGAAAGTGAATTATCGACCGAAGCACTGGCATTGACCTTGATTAAGTTTTTGCAATTTTCCTATTCTATAAAGAGCTAGACAGAAAGTTGTGTTCTATAGGACGAAGAGAAATTGGCCACGGGAGTCAGGTACAAACTGCAAGGAACAACACTAGAGCTACATGTATGGATTGTCATGCGGAATTGACTGAAATTCGGGTGTGGGCTTTGAAAACAGTGCCCTTACTAGTCCAAGCAAATTGGTCTTTGAGTTGCCAGTCCTTTGTGTAAAGTGCCAGATTGCTTATATCCCAATTTGTCAGAGACAGGAAAGAGCAAGAAGAAAAAGAAATGGGGCTTCCATTCAACATGTTGTCAGTGAACATGGAACTTTAGAGTTGTAAGAGACCTTAAAGCACCTCAGTCCAAATCTTCCATCAGATGCTTGATTCTGTTCAATTATATCTCTACTCCAGACTCAACTTGGATATCTTCAGGATTGAAAGCTCTCTGCTTCCCAAATCAGCCCTTTTGTTTTGGATCATAGATGGCTTTGAAAATTATACCCTTTCCCCAGTTTTTGTTTATCTTAAAAATCTCCCTCACCAAGGTTTCTGGCCATTGATCTGGATTCTGTGCCCTAGGGCAACAGAGAGGCTAATGATTGTTACATGACAGCCTATCCCAGGGACACAGGTAGCTAGCTTTTCATTTTTCCAGGCTAAGGAAATCCAGTTCTTTCAATCCTGCCTCTTAAGCTTAGTTTTGAGTGGCCTTCATGTCCTAGTTACTCTCTCCTGGACATGTTCAATCTGCGGCTTTCTCAGAAAAAGCAAGACCCTCAGCTGTGCCCTGGTCAGTGCAGAATAGAGCAAAAATATTCATGGCTCCTATTCATATATCCTGGAGTCCTGGTGTGGCGCTGTGAGCTAATGCGTCACACTGCAAAGTTGTTAGAACTGCAAGGTCGGTAGTTCAAGCTCACCAGCTGCTCCTTGGAAACCCTATTACAGGGTTGCTATGAGTCAGAATCAACTCGACGGCACTTAACACCAACAAATTCATACATCCTAAAATCATAATCTTTTTTTTAGCTTTTTTCAAAGTTAATATCAGTTGAATTTTTGTTCCCTACATGCTCTGATAGCGTAGTGGTTACGAATCGGGCTGCAAATTGCAAGTCAGCAGTTGGAAACTACCAGCTGCTCCACAGGAGAAAGATGAGGCTTTCTGCTCCCGTAAAGATTTATAGCTTCGAAAGCCCTGTTAAGGGTCGCTATGGGTCGGAACCAACTCGACGGCACTTAACAACAACAACAACAACATGCAATCATTAAACCAGGCCTCCTTCTTCCTAAAGGATTTGTAGGTGATTTCCTGGGTACGTTTTACACCTGTCACCAATTAGATTTCCTCTTGATGGATTGGGTTCCTGGTCCCAGGCTATCCAGATCCCAGTCCAGGGGTTCAACATCTATGCTGCCTCTTCAAACATGCTGTCATCTGCAGATTCAATGAGCAAAGCAGCCACACCGCAAAGTTTGGAAACAAACAAACTAGTAGATATGCCAGGGCATATCTGAATTTGTTGTTGTTTGTTCTTGTTAAGTGCAATTTGTTGTTGTTATGTGC